TGTGCATACCAAACATCTTCTGGTATTTTAGAATCATATGGAATAAGTGCAAGTAAAGCAAGTATCTTACTACGACTTCGTAATGAAAATCCACCATTTCCTACACGATATTGTCTATCAAATGTAAAAAATGAAAGATCCCATGGAGCGCCTATATAATCATATTGAAGAAAATCAGTAATTTTATGTGGAGAATTTGAACACATAGCTGAATCAATTTGAAAAAGAAGAATTTTTTCACCACGAATACGTTGCCAAAATTTAGGATCTGTTAATAATTGATTGGTTCGACCACGATCATAAGTTTCATTCATATATGTAAGAAATATTTTTCCTGATATAATTAATGATGCTAATGTTGAATTTTTAATAAAAGCTTCATTATCTTTTCCATGAAAAATTTGAATAGGCCATGTTGATGGAATATGATGATTAATATTATGAACAATAGCAACAATATGATCAACTGTACGAAATTCAACAAGTACAGCAATACAAGGATAAAAATTATCTGATGATCTTGTTATATTTTTTATAATTAATTGTCGATTTGATGAAGATGTATTTGATATAATTATAATAAATATAACGAAAATACTTAATAAAATAATAACTTTAATAGATAATTTATCTATTCCAAACTCGTATGTATTTGGTAGTTTTAAATGACTTTTAGCTAGTGTAAATATTCTTTCCATATTCGTATAATAAAATTTCCTATTAGTACATTCAACTATTATTATTATAGATCATTTTTCTTTCTTAATCATTGTTCAATAAATTGAATAAATTTTAAATAAATAAAAATAACAACTTCATCGTCTCTACAATGAACTAATACACTTTATATTTCACATATTCTCTTGCATTTTTTATTTTTTCAGATTAATAACTAATTTGTTTGCTTATGCTATGTCGTTCTCATCTCATACTTCGTCATCAAAAACAAAACAAAAAAATTATTCGATCTTTAGAAGTTATTGTAAGGAGTTGAATAATATGGAAAACAATTAGAATAGAAAACTATAGCATGATCGACCATAGTATAAATTATTGACTATCATGAATCATATTGAATTCACCTACAATATTATTTCTAATAAATGCATTGCACTATAATAAATCTAGAATATTATTGTTTATATAAGAACGACACGACATATTTAGCATTATCAGAAATAACAAAAATGTTATAATATATAATTAATAACAATGCTGGGTTGAATTTCATAGACAGCAGTTCTTAAACAATATAAAACATTGAAAGGTAAAGGGTATGATGCTTATTATTACGTAGTGCTAAATTTGTTTTATTCTAACTGGTTTTATAATTTTGTTTCTTAGTTTTTTTTTGTCGTTCATGATATAAGGATGAATAAATTTCAGAAAAATAATTTTCTTCTTTGCCTATCTGCAATAGACATTTGTGTCAGTTGTTTTATATGGCTTTTTGAATTGAGAAGCCATATTAATATGAAAAGAAATCAACATATTTAAGTATTTCCATTGGTTCTTTACTAGTCCAACTGATGAAATATTTCTACATGATAATTTAACTTATAGATATTTTTAGAGTCAGTATTACTCAAAGATTCTTTTTTTCGTAAGTATATCAATCGAATCCATTACTATAAATTGGTGACTGTTGGCTAGATTTGTCAGATGGGTCTCGGACCTGATGGGTTCTAGTCGTCTAAGAAATGTGTAGAGTGTGGACATTTATAAAGATAAATCTATGCATATTAAAGTGTATGATACATCAAATGAGTTGATGATCAAAATATTCGAGTTCTTGTTGACAACAAAGTAACTAATATTCATTCGATTGCCTATATCAAAACTTTTTCTTGAAAAATAATCTCTTTGAAATGAAATGAAAATATGATAAACATAATACTCAAACCATGGTTCACTAGAACTTCTATTAAGAATTTGAAAAAGAAATCTTGCACAACTAATCATTGCATAGAAAAAAATTTAATCGAGTTCTTATCTTGGTATCATGTTATTTATGACTTTTTAACTTGCTCAAAAAATTGTTTTATTTTTTTAAGCAAAATAAACATATTTTATTCATTTCCTCTTGTCGTGTTTGCTATAGAATTATTTCCTTCCTAATCTTCGAATATATTCTATTGTATTACAGCCATGTGTTTATCTCGAGAACAGTCATGTTTAATCAACATATTTTTCAGTGTAATAGTACGAAATGTTTGTCTATATGTTGGCAGATTTTTATTTCATAAAAAAAAAAGTGTTTTAATGAAAAATTATGATGAATAATATGACGAAGTAACGTTCCGAACCAGAATTCATAGAAAGACATTCAACGTTTATAGCAAAAAAAGTTTGAAATTACATCTATTTCTAATTGTTAGTGATTATATAATGAATATGATAGATCTCTCAATAGAATTTTTTAAATGCTAGTGAATTTTTTCATTTATTCTTTGGCACGGATAGTAGACATCTTTTTTTTTGCTGTCTGGTCGTTTTCTTATATTTCCAACAAAGAAAATATAAATCTATGAAGTAACATGACTTAGTAATAATGCTTCTATGTGTCAAAAGTAGGTTATGAGTATTAGTGAACATGAATTTGACGTTCGTACGTGACCTAAACAAGCTACTGAGCATTAATATGGATGGAATCCATTGATCATTTTTGTTGACAAAAAAATTTTCCTATGACTGATATAAAGTGAGCGTGTGTGAAAATATTTTTCCTGTACGTGAGAAAAGTACATGTTACGATGAAATACTAATACCTATAGTATTCTATAACTCAGCTCAACATATCAATTGAATCAATTTTTATTGTATCAAATTAATTTAGAAAATATAAAATTCAAAGTATTTTCTGCACACAATGACTAAAGAAAACTAAAATAATATCTATATAAATTTTTGTGATGTTTTAAAATTTATTCAAGAATCAACACAAAAAACATTATTTTTAATAAATTAAACCGTTATATACCAATATGGAAATAAAAAATAGATGTTTACATATCTAACACATTGAAATGTAAATTAGACTTGAAAATTTTCAAAGAAAATTACATATGAAACAACCTTAACATTCCTAATTTCTAATATAAAACA